TATGTATGTATGTATGTATGTATGTATGTATGTATGTATGTATGTATTGTAATGTAATGTAATGTAATGTAATGCCATGTAATGTAATGTAATGTAATGCATGGTATGTATTGGTATGTATGTATGTATGTATGTATGTATGTATGTATGTATGTTTTTTCTAGAGATGCTGGGTTCGAAGGCCTTTGGCCGGTCTGCTAGGCGTGGTGCCTCAGTTGCGGTTGCCGGCTATCAGTTGTTCTTCTCCTCTGTGTGGTCCAGCCACAAGGCCTTTAGAAGTAGTCGACTGACATGCCAGCGTCTTCATCTTCTGCCGTGTTGTCATCTGCTTTGTGGCTGGGGTTCATGGCCAAAGCAGAAAGCTGCTGGTTCAGAGCCTCTTGTTCATCGAGCTCTGTGTTGAAGTGGAGCCGTTTTGGCGTCGGTCTGCTGGAGACATCATCAAGAGGGCTCGAGGTTGGTCCTTGGCTGGCGCTTCCTGCAGTGTCCTTCTTTTTGAAGAACTCGCTTAGTGGCGGAGAGCCCTTGGTGGCTGCACCCTTGCAGGGTTTGTGGAGGGCCTGTGTGTGTGTGTGTAGTCTTGCTCTGCCACAGCCTGGGTTCATAGCAATGAATGGCTGGAGGCAGTGTTCCAGGCGCAAAGCGCCCAACGAAAAAAGAAATCGCCAAAGGCAGATAGTGGTCTATCCGTAGATTTCAATGTCCAGCAAAAAAAAACCTGCGAAGGCAAAGTGACTGCTGCAGCGAAGACAGCAAAACCATGTCAACTCATGCTTCCGTCAAGCGGACAAGCCAACAGAAGGAACATCACAGCTGGGTGCGGAAGGAGCGATGAGGCGCCTCAGGAACCGCAAAGCACTCCGCTGCCTATCAAGCGCTGAAGCAGACCAGGCCACTGCAGCATCAAAGGTAAATTTCCAATCAAGAAGCTCGTGCACAGACCGAGCGGCCTGTTCCTGAGCTTTGGCGTCGGCTCGCTTGTTGAGGAGTCTCCAAGTCTCAGCCATGTGGCCAGCAAGGGACGGGGTCCAATCAAGAAGCTTATCGTGCGAAGGCACCCACGCAATTTCGTGGGTGGAGCAAACTAAGCTTAAGGCCTTCCACAGGCCCGGCGCCCACTGAGGCAAATATCCCGTCGTTTGGATTTGCCTGGGTGGCTATGAGCCTCTGGCTGCCATCTAGATGCCATTGCTTCCCACATTGGGTGCACTTCACTCGTTCTCCTATCTGCCATGGTGTGTGTCTTGGATGGGCTGCATGCTGGGCAGTGTACTCCTGGTTCACACAGTGGCTTTGGATGAACTCAGTGAATGCTGCTTCATTCACCCTTTTGTGGATGTTCACTCCGCACTTGGTACCCCGTAGTTTCAGCCAGGTGGTGCTTGCCTGGTTCTGGTTGGTCAGGTTGCTTTGCCAACAAGTCCTTGATGTGCTGGGCTCTTGTGAGTTTCTTGGGCAGGGAGTCGATCTGCATGGCAGGCTGGTTGCGGAGGTCTTCAATCATCACCTGTGGGCAATCTTCCTGGAGTCTGCCTTCAAGGATGTCAGTAGTTAAACCTTGGTGCATCCTTGTGCCACAAGCTGCGCACTGAAACCCACTGCGATGGGGTTCCCACCTGTGATGATTGTCAGCCCAGGCTTTGCGGCATTGGTTTACAAGGTCTTTTTTGTGCTGTTTGGTGTGTTTGCCTTGGTGCCGCGGTGCTTTTTGGTGGATGTAGTGCGTGCTGTCTTCGTAGATCTTGCTGAGCCTTTGCACTGCATGCTGGTAGATCAACTTGTGGTCCTGATCTAAGGTGCCTTGCCATTCTTCTTGCCATGCATCATGGAGTGTCTTTGCTCGTTCCCAAGCTGCCAGGCTGAGTCCCTTTGGCGGCGTCGGAGTTGAGGTTCATTGCCAGGTGCATCAGGAGTTCTGGTGTTCCTGCTGGTGTA